ATATGAAGAAAGTGCTAGAAAAGCATCAAGTATTCTTTGTGAACTCTTGTTCGTATGCTGCCATAACACCTGAACAGCTCATCCAGAGCTAATTGGACAGTTCTTCTTATGTTCTTGTTGAATGTTCTTTTACCTTTTATAGGCTGAAGCACTCAAATATTCACTACTTAGGGAAGCACGCTGATCTAACCTGAAATACAAAGTTGATTTAAATAAAATTAATAGGGAAAACACAAGCATAACAGCAATGAGAGTGCTGGGGAGAAGAGAATAAGGTTAAAGAAAATGTGTGATTCTAGGAATCGTTATTGGAAGGAAATGTACCAATGAAGAGGCCAAAGGTAAGACTTCTGGGAGACCTCAGTGGCCCTTGGCTCCGACCCAGTGATAGGTTCCCAAACCTCCTTTCAGTACGATCCAGCTGGCCCACTTGCTGCAATTTCTTCCCTAAAATAGCCTTGCATCTCTAATTGATGAGCTGCTATTGAGGCAGTATTGCTGCCGTTGTGGTTTTGCCGCTGTGTACTGCGACAACAAGTAGAGAAAGCACCATTAAGAATTAGTAGTGCCAGGGACAAAACTGCCGGGCGTTCCAGAGCAAACCAAACCTCAGGCCTCCGCTGTATTGCCCGTGTAAGTCCAAATCCATTGCCTATTTCTGCATAAAAAGCAGTTCTTTCCAAAGCTATTCAAATGCCAGAAATAAGAGATTATTATGACTTCATGTCAAGTTGAAAGACAGGTGGAGGAGAGCACAGTGTTTGTGTTGGATTCAAACGTCTGCTGAAATCATTCCTGTCATTGGTAATTGATGTTGCATCTGTCTTTAGATTGTGACTATTGAAAAAAAAAAAAGGCTGAAGATCTTATTCAGAGAAATAATTACAGTTGTACGCTGGTAGATATAAAATTAAAGTATGTTGGGGGAAGGGAGCTACATCCTATAATTTATCAGATTCCTGCGTCCCTGAAAAATAATTAGATGCTGGGCAGCGTGCAGACCCTGCTGCAGAGGCTACTGTCCAGGGAATAGCAGTGGTCAAAAATAGGCCACTCGTTTTCATTTATTCTGTCCATTTTTGTTCTTCTATTGTGTTTGGAGTATTAGTTTCCAACTATCTAGAGACAAGGCAGAGAAACAATGGCAGGCTTTATTAAGAGCTAGAGACGTAATCCCCAAGCACAAGTGCAATTGCACGAGTAAGCTGGAGAGGGAAAAAAGGGGATTCTGCTTATGTCTGGCCTTCAGGAATTTCGCCCTCCAAAGTCCTTGAGTGTGATATTGGTACGGCAGTGCTAAATCTGCATTACTTTGACAAACTTTCACTGAAGCCATTGAAGATTATTAATGGAAGTCATATATGAGGTAGCTCTTCAGTAAATGCCTTACATCCCAGCTGTATGGCTCGGGGGGGTTCTTTTTCCTTTTTCTTTTTCTTTTTTTTCTTTTTCTTTTTCTTTTTCTTTTTCTTTTTCTTTTTCTTTTTCTTTTTCTTTTTCTTTTTCTTTTTCTTTTTCTTTTTCTTTTTCTTTTTCTTTTTCTTTCTTTTTCCTTCTCCTTTTCCTTTTCCTGTTTCCTTCTCCTATTTCCTTTTCCTATTTCCTTTTCCTTTTCCTTCTCCTATTTCCTTTTCCTATTTCCTTTTTCTTTTCCTTTTTTTTCTCGCTCCTTTTAGTGATGGTTGTGGAGATTTTGGCTGAACGTACCCTAGCTTAATTTGGAAATTTTAATACGAAGAACCAGCTTCATCTGGTAAAAGTTTACACGGCTTCATATAAGCCAGACACAAACTTGCATGATATCAAGTCACCAGAGGTGCACTTCTTTAGCTGCTATGCAGCAGAATTGGAGTACCATATATGATATATATTATTACCACACAGCATAAGTGACTTGATAAGTTTCTGCTGGCCAGTGCTCTTGCCAGACACTCTCTCTCCTCTCCCTCTATCCCCACCACTTCTGTTTGCCCATTTTCAGCGGATAACTATAATTTTATGTCAGTTACTTGAATTTCATATACAATTCACCCCCAGAACATTGTTTAAGAAGGTCTTGGAAGTGCAATTTCATATTAGTATGTGCAATTGTGAACCACGGCCTCAGGTAATAAGATAATTTCCTGGTATCTAGGCAATAGAGTTTATGCGTAGAATTGCTTCCTGCAGCTTCGGGGACTTCTTCTGATAGTCTTCTTTCTCATTTCTGCATCATGCTTGTGAAAAAAGGAATTTGTTCACAAATTAGGAATCTGTGGTTGTAACATGGGATAATACAGAGATTTGCCAACTTCAGCATTTTTAGTACTTCTGGAAATTGAAAACTAATTGCTTATCAGAAGTGTTCATCAGCGAGTTCCAAAGCAAACATTAAAGTTTTACGTTGAAGAAGCCTGCTGCTTCACTGGCTCTGATTGTAAACTGGCTGGGAGAGATGGACCCTTTTTCACATGCTGTCAGGTTAGGGAATTATAAAATTAAGGTGCTTTTTTTAGCACAGTTCCATAAGACATGTATGTCCGAATGCAATTTTAACTTCTCATTTACATTTGCATTTCAATGAGTGTAGGAGCCTCCAAAACTGAAGTCTTCCATGAGAAGAGCAATAGAGAAATACGAAGTAATAAAAATTGATTGTGGCACCTTCCCAGTTGTCTTCTGAAAAATATATAAATAACTAACTGCTGCAACGGGTATCAGCGTCTTCTAGAAGGTTTCCTTTCCCTCCCTTTACATTTGGTTACAACAATCGGCTTCGCAATGACTCATTGCCTTCGTTAGGAGCGGGAAGACATCCCTCATTATTCATTACTAAAGGAAGGACTTTGCTGCTGCGAAGAACAGCCATGGCATTCTAATTCAGGTACCTTTCAAGAGCAGGGAGTCAATGTCATTCTTCCTCAAACTTTGCCAAAAGAGACAAGAAATAACGCTCTTTAATTGTCTCCGTTTATAAATAGCCCATTCACAAGGAGAGAATTGCATTTTTAATGCTGCAGTCAGGGGGAAAAGCAACACATTTTTCTACATTTGTGTCTGAATTTCATTTCTGGGAGCTCACGCTGAGACTCTCAAAACTATAAATGATCGTATATATGTATGTATAAATACGAAATGTGTTTACTTGTTTGTGACTTATTGTATGACTTTTTAATTACAGAGTGCTGTAGATATATTACATAAACGCACACACAAAGCATTTACTGTTTAAGTAATCCAAGGTTATATTAATTTTCAAGGGGAGTGGGCAGGACTGCATTAAAACAATTGTTTTTTCTTGATTTTACTAACATAAATGTTCTTTGTCTCTTTCTGCATCCCTTTTTTCAGATTTATTTCCTTAGATGTGAAGCGATTGAGCTTGTGTTACGGTTTTGCTATATTTTAATGTGTTTTTTATTAAGCTCTACAGCACAGACCATGCCTCCTTATAAATAAAGCTATGATCGTGTATTACTAGAAACCCCATTTCAAACTGTATTTTTGCCAGACTTGGTTAAGATTTTCTAGGAAGGGACATCATAATTGTGTGATTAATCTTCAGAAAAGGGAAATTTTGGCTCTGCAGTATTTCTGACTGTATTAACTTCAGAGATTTATAACTTGAAACTGCACTGTAAGTGTGTTTATAATGACTTTTAGCCGGTTTAATAATCCTCAAAGTTTGGTGACCGTACAGATCACAGCTTCACAAATACAGTCCATTACCTGTAGCATCCAGATGAAGTTATCAGAGGTGGAGGAAATTACTTGGGATTGTATTTCTCCTTAGCAAGGTACTAATCCAACCTCTGGCTGAGGCTGGTGCTCCCGGAGCCCTTGTCTGCATTTATCCCATTATGCAGCGGGGACATGTGCATGGGTGATAAAGAACATCTTCATGTTGAAAGCCTAGCTAGGGCGTGGGTACACCGTCAAATCTCGGTGCCGCAGGGGTGAGGCACCTGGTGGGGTAATGTTGTCAGGAAAATTTTTAAGCCGGGCTGGGATTAATTTTTTTTTTGCTGTTGTTATCAATATCTACAGCATGCCGCTGCTCACGCCACTCCCTGCACCTGGCAGTGCTTCATGTCTCCATTCATGATCCTGCAAAGCTTTTTCACTCCAAAGAGCCCTTGACCATGCAACTGGCTCTGCTAATTGCAGGTGTGGGTACTGTCCTATCCCAGTGGAATATGAGTCACTGGGACAAGTGATGGTGTGCAGGCTCAACACCTGAAGATTGCATTTGTCTGCAACGTGGCGTGGCACAAGGTTGTTTTGAAAAGTCACCAGTTGAGAGAAAAATGGTTGGAACAATGCCAGAAGCCTCATGTTAAGCTTTCTGGCTGTGTGCTTCTATCAGTGTCTCAAGCTTTGCTTTTCATAATAATAAATACCAAACAACAACCCTGGGAATCCCTGGGAGCTGGATTGCGAGTTCTCAGTCCCCATTTAACATGCCCACATATGGCCACTTGCTAGATCAGAACTCAGTTCATTAACACCGAACTCAAAGAGTTAGAAGGTGGATGTGGGGTATGTGCATAGTAACTCAGAGCATGGAGTTGTTACCATAAACAACATAGAACTGCGTTTACCTCTGTTCAAGAGTCAAAGTACTCGCCGTGTGTTTGCAGAACCCTGCTTTTTCTTTTTTTGATCTTCCAATTCACGTCATGTAAGTAATCAGGCTTCAATAAACTTCATGTTCGCAGACCAGTTATTTGAGACATTTGTGACTTTAAAGCAATTCCTGACCTTCATCTCTCCGATGACATGCAGATTTTCTTTAATCAAGCTAAGGACTGAATAGGAACCCACTAACACCTACAGGATTCACCTGTTTGGCATTTTCCTAATTTTCACTTTATTAAGCAGATAAAAGGAGAGCTATTTCCTCTCCGGCTTCCCTCGTTTGCTCTGTGATGTACTGTGAGGTATCAGTCCAGCCAAACATTTCTTTGATCAACGAGCAGAGTAAGCTGTGTGAAACCTAATGCGTGTCTTTACGTCTTCAGGCATCCACTGTGACAACACGTGCGCCCAGGGCCGCTGGGGACCAAACTGCTCCATCTCCTGCAACTGTGAGAACGGGGGATCCTGCTCCCCAGAGGATGGGACCTGTGACTGTGCACCAGGATACAGAGGACCCTTGTGCCAGAGAAGTAAGATTTTCCATTGATGTGGTGGCAGGAGCAAAGGAGGTAGAAATGCTTGTTTGTGACACCAGAGACGTAGGTTTCTGAGCTGCTTTAGCTTGTGGCTTCCTAAGGGCCAAAGGGGGCCTCCAAAATGCTTCTCAGTCAAGAACTCTACTCAGTCAAGAGCTCTACTGCACTGAGCTGTGCCTTGTGTTTCTTCTTCTGGTCTTCCACAGCCCCTGGAGGTTACAGGTGGTCTGAACAAAGGAACAACATCTTTACATATTAAACTAGGCAGGATCTGGACAAAAACTTACGTTTAAGTCATGGTGAGCTACGGGATACATGTTAAACAGAGTCAGCTCTGACCCATCGCATAATGCCAAGTGGATGAGCGTTGGCTATCAGAATAAGACGATGTTTTCTTATATGCCAGAAAAAGGAGCACAGCAGCCTGAAATTGCTCCTGTCTGCTCTGCTGCTATGTATTAATATGTGCTGAGGAGAATAAAAATCCTCTCCTTTGCTTTGTCTGGGAAGCTACATTTACCCCGTAGGAACCCTTATTCACTGATCCAAACTATATGCAACCATCTTCCTGTGTAAACAAGAAGTAGATTTGTCTCTCTTCTGCAGCAGCTCTTGTTCTTCTTGTAAGACATCCTGTGTGCCCAGTTCACATATCCCCTTTGATTTCACCTGTTACACTCAACGCTAGAACACACTCATCTCTAAAAATAATTTGTAGCTGACAATTTTTATTTAAAGCCATTAGAATGATGACCTCTAGCACTGCTGTAGTTAATGGCTATAAGCATTTCCATTATAAACTCTAATTTCCAGGTGCTTCAGCGTATCTATATAGCTGCAAGACCTCTCTCCAAGGCTAAAATGTGGTGCTCAGAGCTTCAGGGAATTGGGGAGGAAATTGTTCTACGAATTTGAAACACTAAGAGTGCAAAACTTCCAGAAGTTAATAGTTTCCGACCTTTCTGAGATGAAGTTTTATCAGCTAATGGCACGTAGAGTCAAACTATGTATGTCCCCAGTTTGCAACTCCAGTGATGAGGCTGCTCCCAGAGGACATTTGCTAAGGACCTAATGGGGATAAGTTTTCCTCCCCAGTGGGGTGACAGCAGAGGGGTCCTGCGAATGCTTCAGCTGTTGCCTCGTGCTGCTGAAATGCTTTTCTGAATATACAGCCAGGGAACTGAGCTCGCTTCCAGCTCTTCTGCTGGGTTCAGGCTCAAGTGAAGAGGAAACTTCTGCAGGAGAAGGTAGCTTGAGCTTGCTGGGTTTGGTCTCAAAATCATTCCTGTTTTTCTCTTGAAAATTAATTTGGAAACAGAATTTAGACTGTAAAAGGCAGTACTGAAGATGCTACTCAGCCAGCCAGCCTGGTCTGTCTGCGCAGTCAGAATTACAGGAGACACTGGGATAGTTTACTGCTCTGGGGCCTGCAGAAATGTCTCCAGGAATGATCCAGGTTGTTTTATAGCTAGGGCATCATCAACAAACCTGTCAGCTAAGTTCCAGCTGAAAATCTGCAGTAGTGGAAGAACCTGACACCCTCTCTGAACATACTGACCAAGAGAAAAATTCTCATTTGGTGAAAAAATAGAATGGGCATGATCTAGTAACCACCGAGACAGAACTATGTAACAGAGAACCACAGGAGTAAAAATAAAAACCATAAAAAATCGTTTTCACAGTTACTTACTGCAGTTTAACATTTCTTTGCGCTTACCTGTCACAGTGAATGTTTGGACAGTGGATGGTTTTTCATTCTACGTGTGCTTAGAAGCGACAATGCACATTTATAGGAGATACTGAGCCATAATCTTGGCACTATACCTTATGTACAGATTCTATAATAATTTCAATTCAGGTTTCAAGCAAATTAAGCACAGAGTTCATGACAAGTTTACTCAGCTATCCGGTGTGATTACTGATGCAAATTAGGTGATTTTGCATGCTGTTACCGTAATTACCATTTTTAGATTCTGTTCTTCACTGATGGATGCTGCTCCTGCGATGGCAGGTATAAACTGACTGTCCCAGCTGAACACACGTATTGCACCTAATATTTTTAGAAATCAGCTTTTTAGAAATCATGTTTTTTGACATAGTTGATTAGATGTAAAATATTGAGATTTTCCTAGTACACCTCATCTGATTTCTTAGCTGAATTTCCGAAGGAGATGGCTTTCTGAGGTTCTGTTGTCTGGACGTGTGTGTAAGTGGTTCTCCTCCGACCTCTCTTAAAGGCTTTGGAATATGTGTTATTAACTGTGTCTGCAGTGGGGCTGCAGAGATCTTCCACATCTTAAACTCCTGTGTTTTTTAAAAGAGTTTAGCTGGGGCAGGCTGGAGAGACTCAAATTAGTGTCTGGGGAGAGAGAGGCTGCTGAGAGGGCTCCTCTGTATTATTAAATAGCCAAGGACTGAGGTGAGTTAGATGGTGTGAATGTTTGAACCAGAGCAGCAGTTTTACTCAGAGCTCGCACTGCATTAGACACGGGATAATGCAGCAGGCTTCATAATTTCAACTGCTCATGAAATTGTGGTTTTATAAATAAAGAAGTATCGGTTTGGGACGAAGACAGTGAGAGAATTCTCAAGCTCTTAGCTATGAGAAATCTCTTGAAAACCCTTGATGGCTTGTTTTGTTTGGTCTTCAGTTTGTCCCCCCGGCTTTTACGGACACCACTGCAGCCAGCCATGCCCTCAGTGCGTGCACAGCAACGGGCCGTGTCACCACGTGTCAGGACACTGCGACTGCTTGCCTGGATTCTTTGGCACTCTCTGCAACCAAGGTACTGAGCCCAAGCCCCCCAAAACCCACCCCCTTCCCGAGTTTCTGTGCCTGTCGCTTTGCAGCATGACCGATCACAAGGTTCCTGCCTTTTTCCCTTGTTTCAGCAGTTTAGATGACAAGAAATTCTTTACTTCAGAGGGAAAATGCAAATAGGTACTTAGTCACCCTTTTGTAAATATGATGTGCTCCTGCTTTCATAAATAAAACAGGGCTGCCGCTCTGTATTGAAATGAATATGGAATGAGACACCTGCTGTAAATATAACAGCCATCCGATGGTTTCATTTTCCTTTCTGCTAAGCCTACCGTGTCCTAAATGCCAGTGGCACCTTCATGCACCCGTTTTCAGCAGG